TCTACTTTAGAGTTGTGCAAAATTACATATATAAAGAAATTAAAATCAACTTTGATTCCATACCTATCTTTTAGGAACCCCAGTGAAAAGTAGTAAATTATATATGGAAACCCTACAAACAGCAGTGATGTTGTATTTTTTAGTTAAGAATCTACCACTATAAAAATATCCAAATAAATAAGAAATGTCTTCTCTATCTATTGTTATCAGACATCAAACAGAGATGAATAAATCCCCTTTTGTCCTGGGAAGCAGACAGACAAAAACTTTGTGATAAAGTAGAGGCAACTTTTAACATTATTAACAGAAGATAAAGTCTTGACAAACCAATACAAATTTTTTATTTTTAAAATTGAATATAAATAAGAAAAATGCTCATTTCTAAAGTGAACTGACCTCTCCAAGGTTCTGTAATGAATTGAGGACAACACAATGATATAGGTCAAAGAATTTTTAAGCAGGACAATTTTACTAAAATTGCTGGATATACAAGCTTTAAGTCTGTAGACATTAGGAGCAGCACATGCTCTTGTAAAGCATCCTAAGACTTTCTGAAAATTCTGCAAGTTCCTGAAACGGTCATCTTGATGACGTATAAATCTTGGATTTTTGTCAGAGAGAGATGAAGCTTAAATCCTAGCAAGCCAGATAAACAAAGCATCTTTGATGAACTCTTCTGTGAAATTCCTACAGGTGTTTCGCCAATAGAAACTAAAGTTCTGAGTCTCAACTGACCCTAAATATTCAAACTCCCAATTCAGGAAACATAAGTGAAATAACATGTCATAAGCCTATAATCCCAGAGGTTCCTGAGGCCGAGGAAGGAGGATCATGAGTTCAAGCCAGTCTCAGCAACTTAGTGAGACCCTGTCTGAATATAAAATAAAAAAAGGGATGAGGTTGTGGCTCAATGGATAAGGGCCCCAGGTTCAATCCCTGGTACAGAAAAGGAAAACAAACAAACAAAAACATCTAATTCCCTTGTATTATGTCATTGGTTGGCAAGGGATCCTTGCTCATTTGTGTTGTATTCTCATTATAGATACTGATAAATTCCTAGAGTTTTATACGCTGTTGAGATTTACCTATCTAACAAAGAAGGATTTGTCAATATATTGGTTTAGAGGCTTGATACCAGTTTCCAAATTGTATTTCCTTTTATAGAAATAGATCTAAATGCAACCTAATATATTGCTCTATAAGATCAGATAGTGAGCAGAAATGTTCCTTAAGCTAGTTATTAAATTCAGTGATATTGCTTCCTGCATGCTGCTGGAACTTTTCATTAGTACTAAAACTCCCTTAATTTGGTTTCTCTTGAATTCGGTCTTAAAATTTTAGTATGCATAATAAACTCCTGTAGAATTTGTTTTAAATGCATTCCTATAGGTTCTGATTCAGGAGGTCTGAGTAATAATCCAGAAATATGTACTTTTCTTTTTTTAGTGCTGGGGATGGAACCCAGAGCCCTGTAGGCAGAATCTGAACATTTAACCAAGTACCTAGGTGATTCTGATGTCCTTGGTAGGCAATCACACTCTAAAGAAACTATTGCGCTTGAAAATAAAATTTCATGGGCTGGGGTTGTAGCTCAGTGGTAGAACACTTGCCTAGCGTGTGTGAGTCCCCTCATAAAAATAATAAATAAATGAAATAAAGGCATTGTGTCCATTTACAACTAAAATTTAAAAAAATTCATGCCCACACCCACACATAAAACAAAATAAGAATTTTGTGCATGTATCTCTATGTTCCAGAGTGACATATATACCTAATTACAAAAGAATTATTAGGGGCTAGGGCAATAGTTCAGTGGTAGAACAATTGTCTAGTATATGCAAGACCCCAGGCTCTATTCCTACCCACCCACCCCCCCCCGAAAAATTATTAAGCTAAAGCTTCTAATTAGTTGTTTATCCTATAGGATGGTCACTAAAACAAGTCACAAAGAATTCTAGGTTCCTTCATAAACGTATAGGGTTCATGACAGAAGGCATTCAAAAGAAAATATGGAGATTTGGGAAGAGGTTCAGAAATTCAAAGTGTACTGCTATCTAGGTCTAGAAGAGATGGGGTAGATATCATATTGACCAGGGGTCAGCAAACCAAATCTGGCCCATTGCCTGTTTTTTATGGCTCAAAAGCTAAGAGTGGTTGTTGTATTTTAAAATAGTTTTTAAAAAATCAAATGAAGAATAATATTTTATGGCATGGAAAGATGATATGAAATTCAAATTTCAGTATCCATAAATAAAGTTTCATTGGAACACAGTCATGCTCATTTATTTACAGATTGTCTTTCAGTGTTTTTGCACTACAGCAGCAGCATTAAGTAGTTGTGACTCAATTTGCCAAGCAAAAAGCTTTTAACTTTTATGTAATCAAATTTATCATCATTTTTATGGCTTTGAGTCATGGTTTAAAAAAAGAGTTTCTCTGGTATAAAACAATTTAAATCCTGTTTTTTTGTATGGCATCATTTTTCATACACAGATCCTTAGTAGGATATAGTCTAAGGATCAAGAAAAGCTTCCAGTAAATCTTAAATCTCTTTTAGTATTTTCATTCTCAGTAGGCTTATTGCCATTATTATTTTGGAGTTATTTTATAGAAATCATAGGATAAGGCAAACCAGATAATTATGTCAATGTTGTTAGGAACCAAGATTTCAGTATTAAAAAAAAAAAGAAATACAAATGTAAAATCAAGGAAATTTTATTAAAATCCTGAAACATTGTATTGTTTTTTTTGTTGTTGTTGTTGTTGTTTTCTGTGGTGTTGGGGAATTGAACCCAGGGCCTTGTGCTTGCGAGGAAGCACTCTATCAAGAAATGTTGCATTTGATACAATGAAGTTATCAATAGAACTCATTATTTTAAAAGTTATATTTCTTTTTTTTAATTTTTTAGTTGTAGGTGGACATAATATCTTTATTTTATTTATTTATTTTTATGTGGTGCTGAGGAACAAACCCAGTTCCTCACACATGCTAGGCAAGTGCTCTACCACTGTGCTACAACCGCAGTCCCATATTTCTTATCCAGTATTTCAATGAAGGAAGTAGAAAAAATTTAATTGATTTCTTCTGGGATCGATGTAATTGTGTTTAAAAGAGGTAGATTCCTGGGGCTGGGGATGTGGCTCAAGGGTAGTGCGCTCGCCTGGTATGTATGCGTCCTGGGTTCGAGCCTCAGCACCACATACAAACAAAGATGTTGTGTCCGCGGAATACTAAAAAAAAAAAAAAAAAGAGTTAGATTCCCATTGTGTTAGCCTTTGGCCTACTGTTGCACTAAAACTGAGTTTTTTTATTCTTACATTATCCAGTCTGCTTCTTTCACATTATCAATGCCCAAACTAGACGTGCTTGCCATTTTCCTTTTACGTGTGTTTGGCAGTTGGGTTCGTGGCCATAGCATTTTTTTTTCTATGTAAGATTAAAAAACAAAAAAATGTAAAAAAATTCACATAGAATAACTATTCCTATTCATTATAGTTGTTCAAAGGAGACTGAAAAAAATATTTCACTTGAAGATTTTTGTCACACTAAAGGAGTTTCTATCCTATTATTATTCTGATTTGGAGTATGTATATATACATATTTTTTAAAATAAACTTTATTAAGGTGAAATTTAAATATTATATTTCTTAATCCTGAAGGGCCTTGAAACAATGACAATACAAAATGTATGAGCACTCCCATTCATTTCCTTGGGCTGGGGTTATAGCTCAGTGGTAGAGCGCTTGTGTAGCACATATGAGGTACTTGTTCGACCCTCAGCACCACATATAAATAAATAAAATAAAGGTATTGTGTCCCTCTACAAATAAGTAAAAATTTAAAAATACATTCATTTCCTAAGTTAATTAATAAGTATAATCAGATTGCAATAAAGGTTTTTTCTGGTTTTCTCTCCTCAGGATCCCCAACCCCCCAAGTACACAAGTTGTTCATATAAAAAGTAAACACACGATAACTAGAAGACATTAGAAAAAAGAAGAGCAAATAATGGTCACCAGCACTCAGATTAATAGAAATGTTTTTAAAAGCCTCAATGATTAATACAGTGTGGTACTAGCACATAAAAGGGAAACAGACAAACAGAACAAGAATTGGAAAAATCTAGAAATATACTGTAAAATATGCAGAGGTTTAGACTAAAGGTTCTTCTCAAATTGGTGGGGCAAAAATAAACTATTCCACAATTTTTATTGGGACTGCTAAGTAGTCATTTGAAAAAGGATAAAGTTGGATTCCTACCTTCATATTACACTAGGATATATTCCAAATGGATAATATATAAAATGCAAGTTAAAAGCCTAATAATTCCAGAAAAAACATGGGAGAATTCTTTTAATATTTTGGAATATAACACTGATTCAAAATCTGGATGCCAGAAAAATAAAAATTAAACTCAACTCCACAGGAATAAAAAAAATCATGCATGACAAAAGATAAATGGTAAGTGAAAATTGGGGAAATATTTGTAACTCACATTATACGCTTTTATGTAAAAGGAAGAAAATTAAGAATTCATATTTTATGTGCTAATCTGTGCATAGAGAACTCTATAGAGTTTTAGAAAACTAAAAATAGTAGTTATCTATGGCAGAGGTGGAGTACTAGGTGGATGGAAGATAAGAATGGAAGGAGAATTTTCCACTTTTTATATAATTTGCCTTTTGAACCAGAAGACTATATCACCTATCTGGAAAGTTCAACTTTTAGGTAGTCCCAGATGTCATATAGCTTACTTTTCAGTGCAAGGAGAATAAATAGAGAAATAAACACATACTTAGAGTCCTAGTGAGACAAATCTATGAATACAAAGAACTTTTTATGGACTTTGTTAGTCTTCACAGTGCCTCAAAAAAGTGAGACACTCTTTGAATAACCATAAAATCAGTTTTTGAAAGTTCTGTTTATATTAATATTATTGTTCTACTAGATTTTCAATGTAAGGAAATAGAAAATCAATTGAAAATAGTAGAAATTTTACCTGTAGCAAATACTGTCAGGAACATACACCTTCAGTTCTTCTGTGACATCTCTCATCACCCTCTGGTAACCAGACATTTTTGGAGCTTTGATATAAGAAGGATTGTTTCTCATTAAATATTCTCCCAAATAATTAATTGGATCAAACTTGGTTGGAGTATCAGCTTCTGTCAAAATCTTTTTCTTTTCTAATTGCATTAACATTTTTTCCACTCCAGGAACTAAGGTGGGTAGAAGTTTGTCCAGCAAATATGCACGAGTTTTCAGTGTTGTAGTTTCAGTATCAAACCACTGTTGGGCTAAATTATCCTTAGGGAGTTTTTTTTCAGACTTTTTTTCTAGTTCCTTCTTTAGATTATCTTTATCTATTATTTTCTGCTGTATTTTCCGGGCACTCGCCTCCACTCTTTCCAAAATATTTTTCCTCCATGGTTGTTCTAGCTTTGATTTTGGTTTAGTTTCATCTAAAGAAAAAATCACTTTTTCAGGTTTTCTAATCACAACATTCCCTGAGACTTCAGGAATAGCGTCCTTTGTTGAACTAGTTGGAATTTCTGGCTGTCTCACCAGCTTTGATTCTAAGAGGGAAAAAAAAAAGTGAAATGTAAGAAATATTAGAAGTAGTTTTTAAGGGGCTGGGGACATAGCTCAGTTGGTAGAGTGCCTGCCTCACATGCACAAGGCTCTGGGCCCGATCCCCAACACCACAGGAAAAAAAAAAAAAGAAGTAGATTTTAATCAACAAAATTTTAGCATACTATTACAAAAACGTTTTGTACATCCATTTGCCCACATATTGGAACACCATCAGCTGAAAGTGTCAGAAAGTTTGGCAACGGTCATTCAAACCATAAAAACATTTACTGTTACTGTTGACTTATTCAGGAGTTAACATCAGCTCTGTAATCTCATTCAGTACTCAACCTGTTTCTATCACTCTTAGTCCATTTTTTTGCACTTGTAATTTATATCATACAATGGCTCTTACAGCTCCAGGCATCACTTCCTCAGAAGAAAAAAATAATTGGGTCTGTGCACGGTGGCGCACACCTGTATTTCCAGCAGCTTGAGCGGCTGAGGCAGGAGGTTCTCGAGTTTAAGCCAGCCTCAGCAATATAGGGAGACCCTAGGCAAGAGAGTGAGACCCTGTCTCTAAACAAAATACAATAAAAGGGCTGGGAATGTGGCTCAGTGGTAAGTGTCCCCTGGGTTCAATCTCTGGTACCAATAAATAAATAAATAAAAGAAAAAGAAAAAAATAATTGGGGACAAGAGGGTCTTTCTCCTCTTGAGGATCTGTCTTATTGTTCAAGAGGAGAAGAGCCCAGACTCCCCATTTATTGACAGACTTTATGGTCTGAACATCTAACCCTTCCTCCATAATCGCTGGCAGCAGACTACAGAAAACAGAAACATCCACACAAAAGCAGATAATCTCAAATGCAAATATAATTACACATACAGAAGACTAGAGGAATATTTAAGTAAAACCATCTCCATGGCTAAATGAAATAACTAATACAAACCTAAGGAATATCATTAATAGAACAAGTGTCAATCTGTTCACTACCATTATAATTCATATATCTCAGAGCGAAGAAATTAGAAAATATTATGAACATTGTTTTTTTAAAATTAAGAAAACTTGGATGCCTGATGTTCAGATCTTGGTTTCTACTATCATTCTTGAATTAAAAAAGAAAAAACCCAGAGCTTCTTAGAGAAATGGATGATGATTAAGGGATTTAACTGTTTTCAGACACAGCTGAGGTAGCTCTAGCTTTGCTCTTTTAAATTAATGTTTTTGTTGATGTTTATATATATAATGTTTATATATAAAAAACATTAGGATTCATTTTGGCAAGCCTTTTTTATAACTTTATTTTACTTATTTATTTTTTATGTGGTGCTAAGATTTACATGATCCATGTCATTACTGATTTTCAAAAGATATTTGCCATTAAATTTCAGTTTAAAAAACCTGAGAAAGGTTTTACTTGCCTAGGCATAAATTATATGCCTATTTCTGAACCATCCATGAGCATTCTGATTGGACAGATTTGCATCACCATCTATTCCTAGATCTAAAAAACCAGCATAACCCTCAACTAAACCAAATGGATCAAGGAGGGGAAGGGCTGTTCCCTAAACAAACTGAGTAGACAAAAAAGATATATCACTTAAAGGAAGTAGTCAACAGCGCCAAATGCTGCAGAAAAGTCAAATGATGCAAGAAGTGGAAAGAATACATTTGATTTAGCACTCAGTTGTTTTTCACTAAACAATTTCTGTGTTTAAGAATGGATCCTAAGGACAGCAATATCTGTGGTGAGAATGGAGCCTAGACTACCGTGGGTTGAGGAGGAACTTCAAGGTAAAGTGCAGAGTGAATGACTGGACAAATTATTACAAAGAATGTGACTGTGGGGACTGGGGTTGTGGCTCAGTGATAGAGTGATTGCCTAGCATGCATGAAGCACTGAGTTCGATCCCTGGCACCACATAAAAATAAACAAATAAAATAAAGGTATTTTGTCCATCTACAAAAAAGAATGCGACTATGAAAGAAAAGATTAATTTCTTTCTCTTTTTTCTTCTGGTGAGGAAAGATTTCTCTAAAGATGGGGTTGGTTTGACTATATTTAGAGATTTAGAGGCAGGAGGCAAAGTAGAGAGAAAAACAGAAGACACAGGAGAAAAATTAGATGATGATCCTCAGGGTCGAGGAGATATGCAGGAGGTCAAAAATATACAATAGCCTTGGATGAGATGTCTCTTACACTAAACTAAGATGGCATGTAAGTTGAGAGAATTCCATCTCACAGCCTCTATTTTTTTTGTGAAATAAAATAAATATCGCTAAAACCAGGAATGGTAGGATCATGAGCTTGATGGGAAAGATATAATTTTGAAATAACTGTTGTGGGTGTGGAAAGGAGCAGACTACAAATATATAAGCATATTTCTAAGCAATGTTCAAAGTATACCAGAGATTAAAGACCATATATTTTCATAGCATCAGCACACAAATTATATGGCATTTTTTCCTAGTATAACTGGGTAGATTGCTCTGAGTTCCTAGGACATTGCCAGCTCAGGCTCTGAACAATATGCTATTGGATAATTTTTTTTCTACATATGATTGCTGAGGTGATTGGAATGGAAGAATTAATGGGAATTTTAAGGTGTTTTTTTTTTTTTGTGACATGGATAGAGAGATAAAGTAGTTTAAGTTCTTTTTTTTTTTTTCTCTCTTCTTTTTTGAAACTGGGGATCAAACCCAGGTCTTTGCACATGCAAGGCAAGTGCTTTACCACTGAGCTACAACCTAGCCCTAGTTTCAGTTCTTTTGAAATATTATCCACTGAAAATATCAGTGCTCAGCCAAATCCCAATAGAATCAGGACAATGTATTGTTGAAGCATTTTGCTTCTGTTACTTTGAAGATACAGAGAAAAACCAGAAATATATCTGAAAATTATTTCTATACTCATTATTTTTAATGTAACCAGAAAGTAGTTATTGAGACATACTTCAATCATTAATAACCCCCCATATATACTGCTACTACAATTAAAGGGTAAGAGACTAGGGACTCCATAACTTTTGAGCAATGGTATTTTTAACATTATTTATTATATTTATTTTTTAGTTGGACACAATATCTTTATTTTATTTATTTATTTTTATGTGGTGTTGAGGATTCAACCCAGGGCCTCACTCGTGTGAGGCGAGCGCTCTACTGCTGAGCCACAATCTCAGCCCCAACATTATTTATTATGAAATATTTAAGACACAAAAATATAAGTAGCAATTTATCTAATCCTAGCTTACAAAAAAATTACCTAGATATTAAAGCCTCTCATATATTCCAACTTTGAAAGATGCTATTCTGAGTTTCATGTTTATCGTTTCCATGCATTTGTTTATGTTATTATATCTAAGTAATATAATATTGTTGGTTTTTTTTGTTTTTTTATTTTGTGGTGCTGGGGATTGAACCCAGGGCCTTGTGCATGTAAGGCAAGCACTCTACTAAGTTATATCCCCAGCCCTGTTCTTATTTTTTAATTTTATAAAAATAATTTTATATCATGTGTATTCTTTAGCCTTTTTTAAAATTAAAATTATGTATGGAAAATTCACCTAATTGATAGATGCATTTTTCACTGTTTCATAATTGTAATTAAATCACTGTACCATAATGTGTTTATTCATTCTCATTTTGATAGTTATTGAGTTATTTCTAGTTTTGTTTTCACGTTTTACTACAACAGACAATCCTAGTATGAAAATTATTGCATTTATCCTCTTGTGTACATATATGAGTTTCTCTAAAGTGTATTATTAAGATTTTATTTGCAGGGGTGCTATGGTTTGAATGTTTGTTTCTCTTCAAAGTTCATACATTGGGCTGGGGTTGTAGCTCAATGGTAGAGCGCTTGCCTAGCACATATGGGGCACTGCATTTGATCCTCAGCACCACATAAAAATAAATAAACAAAATAAAGATATTGTGTCCATCTACAGCTAAAATTTTTTTTAATTCATACATTGGAACCTAAGACTCAATATGACAGTATTAAGAGGTGAGGGTCTTTGGGGAAGTGATTAAGTCATGAGGGCTCTTCCTTCACCAATGAATTAGTACTCTTATAAAAGCACTGATGGGAAGAATCTAGCCCCTTTTTATTGCCTTCTATCTTTTCTGCCATGTGAGGACATAGCATTCAAGCACCATCTTGGAAGCAGAGACTAAGCCTTCACCAGATACAGAGCCTGCCGGTGCCTTGATCTTAAGACTTCCTAGCTTCAATAACTATGAGCAATCAATTTATTATGTTTATAAATTATTCTGTCTATAGTATTTTATTATAGCAACAGAAATGGACTAAAACAAAGGGTCATAGGTATAAGCATTTTCATTAGTTCAATGAGATATTATTAAATTATTTTCTAGAGTGACTGTACCAATTTAGAAGATCACCAATAAGAGTAAGAATTCCTGTTGTGAAGCAGTAGTTTTTGAAATATGCTTCTTAGGATCTTGAGAAGGAGCTTCAAAGACCATAGGACTGTAAGCAACTTATACCCTTTGTGACCAGAGCACCTGTGCTCCAATTATTGTTCATAATTGGAGAGCATAATAATATTTAATTTGGAAAAAAGATTTTGCTGCCTTAAAATTATCTAAAAACCAAGGCTGGAGTTATGGCTCAGTGGTAGAGCAGTAGCCTAGGATGTGTGAGGCCCTGGGTTGGATCCTCAGCACCACATAAAAATAGATAAATAAAATAAAAGTATTGTGTCTATCTATAATTAAAAAATAAAATATTAAAAAAAGTTATCTAAAAACAATACTCTGGGGCTGGGGTTGTAGCTCAGTGGTACGGCACTTGCTTAGCATGTGTGAGGCACTGGGTTCTATTTTCAGCACCATATATAAATAAATGAAATAAAGTCCATCGACAATATATGTGTGTATTTGTGTGTGTGTATGTGTGTATGGCTCCCTCTCACCTCCTTGGATATGTAACAAATTAACACTTTTTGTGGAGACAAAAATGTTTTTCCCATTTATGTCCTTAAAAAGATTTTGCACTGAGGCTATACCCAGTGGGAAAATGGGAAAATGTTTCCATTTTATTTTTTTGGTCACAATATTCATTAATACACAATGCTCGCTTATTTATTTATTTATTTATTTATTTTTGTGGTGCTGGGGATTGAACCCAGGATCTCGTGCATGTGAGGCAAGAATTCTACCAACTGAGCTATATATCTCAAGCCCCCCTTATTTTTAAGTGTGAAAGAGAACAATTCTTTTAAGTCTACAGGTTCTAATGTACTTGCATTTCTTTTAATCTGTCCAGTACAAACCCAAGGCAGATATTCTTCTGCTGGCTTTAAGTGTTATACTATAGATGTATAGCAACTTAACATCTAAGCATCTGCTGTGGTTCATTAGTAAACTCACACATGAACTAGGGCATTTTCTATCTTCATTGCAGCCTGCTCATGCTCCTGTAGTGTGCTTGGCCATTATAGGTTGCTAAGCAATAATCCTCGTGCTTGCATTGTTTTCACTAATACAGAGAATGGAAGTAGAAATGTGTTTGGTTACAATTCTAGTCAAACACTTCTCTCCTGGAACCAGCAAACCAAGAAAAGAAAAAGAAGAACAGCAGTCAATAGATCAGAATTCTGAACAAGACTATCTGAAGCTGTCTTTTGACAGGTTGACCTCTAAATGCAAGGATTTCAAATTATGGAACTGACCCAAGGGCAAATTAACTTAGAGGTTTAATTGAATATAGATTCAAACAGGTACAGGGTTTTTCAGTAGGTCTGAGTTTGGACATTCTTAAATTTTTTTACAGATTGACTGATTATTTATTCGTACACTCAATAAATAATTATTGATTTCTTACTACATGCCTGGTGCTATGCTAAGCACTGGAATTCTTTTTCAGGATCAATTTCCTAAATTCTTCCTAGAATTAAAAGCCTATCAAGCTTTCGCCTAACACTAATACCTTCATCTCTCTACCAGTTCACCTTCTACCATACAAAGATCTATTCAGGCCCTAAGGGCATAAGAGCTTTCAACTAAATAAGTAGGTACACAAAAGATTTCCTTGTTCATAATTTGAAAGGTCTAGCCTCATAAGGAACATTTATCATTTTCTGTACTTAGGGCATGGCCCACTGCTGGGTATAGCCTCAGTGCAAAATCTATTTAAGGACATAAATGGGAATGAATTACAATCCACATTATAATAATCCTTAGCAGGCTCTTTCAAATGTTATTTAATGTTAGTGGAACTGACTGCTGATTAAACTAGTGAAAACTGAATCAGAAGAGTCACCCAGCAAGCTGTATGATGTTCCTATTTAAACATGGGCCCTGTCTGAAACTTAGGTACCTTGTCTTTATTATCAGAATTTCTCAACATTTGTACATAATGTAAATGACTGCTATAAAAGAAGGAGTAAAAAAACACTAATAAATATTATTAGAATTGAAATTCTATTGGTATAGGAAAAGGTAGGTTCTACAAAACTCTGTTAATCTTTTTTTGAGAGAGAGAGAGAGAGAGAGAGAGAGAGAGAAAGAGAATTTTTTAATATTTATTTTCTTAGTTTTCGGTGGACACAACATCTTTATTTTATTTTTATGTGGTGCTGAGGATCGAACCTAGCGCCCCGCACATGCCAGACAAGCGCACTACCGCTTGAGCCATATCCCCAGCCCTGTTAATCTTTTTTTAAAAAATATTTTTAGTTGCAGATGGACATAATATCTTTATTTATTTATTTTTATGTGGTGCTGAGAGTTGAACCCAGTGCCTCACATGTGCTAGGCAAGTGCTCTATCACTGAGCCACAACCCCAGCCCCAAAACTTTGGTAATCTTAGGCTTGTGTAATAAGGATAGAGTTGGGTAAACTGATAATTAAAAAAAAAAAAAGATTTCTCAAAATGCAAGATAAGCTTATAACCTAAAAAGACAAATAACTAGAATAAAAAAAAAGTGATACACATTTTTCATAACTTTATTTTATTTATTTATTTTTATGGGGTGCTGAGGATTAAACCCAGTGCCTCACTTGTGCTAGGCAAGCACTTTACCAAGAGCCATGGCTGGAGTTTAACCACAGTATTTTTTATGCAAAGAAAAGTATTTGAGTGCAATTTGAGAACTGCTTGGCAAGATAACATCACTTGAATTTTGACAAGTATGTAACAAGGATTATGACACTTTCTTTGACATGTTGAAACTGTCAGTTCAATAGCAGTTCCTCTTCCTACTTCTTTTACATATTTATATATATGTAAATTCATATATTTGTACATAAAGGAAGGATTCAGAATATAAGGTTTAATAGTGGCTGATCACTAAAAAAATAAGTACCTTGCATTACATTTAATATCACAGCACACTGTGATGTTTTTAGTACATATCACATACAAAAACAGTTGATGTGAATAAATCAACAAGCAAAATATACTTCTCTATATACTTTGAAAAGCAATAAGAGAAATTAAAAATACAAGAATAGCAAAGTCTACAAACTCTTGATATTCTCTAAGGAGGCAATAAATTACATGATATAATACATGTATGAAGTTTTGCAGGTGCAAATTTGACCACAGACCACTGAATACCCAATTAAATTTATAACAAATTAATTTGATCACATTTTGTTTGGCATGTTTAGAATGAGTTAATCATTATCCTGGCCTAGTAATTAAGATCAAGCCAGAGTATATGTAAGGTGTGTTGGTGGTAAAATGGTGGGATGAGGAGGAAGTAAAATCAGGAGACTAAGAAGTGGAGTCAGGTGGAGGAGAACAGTTAAAGACTTGACAGGAAGAAAAATTTTTAGTTTGTGAAGCTGTGAAAATAATACTCAGTTTATAAGAAAGGCAAACTAAGTGTCAGGAAGTTTAGTTCTTAATGCACATGTATTACAATAAGTATTAATAAGAACAAGTAGTAAATAATTGCTCTTAATTGGCTTAAAAGACAGAAAAACACCTCAGAAAAAGCACCTACAAGTTATAACTAGGATCTACACAACAATTAATAGTTTAGAAAATACTTTAATAATTATTATTGTAATTTAGCCTGGTCAAGCCTAACACATACTAAACTCTCATTAAGGGTAAGTTGAATTGATGTGAATTTAAATATTGTAAATATTTTCTCTTTGTACAGGGTTTCACTAAATGTCTGGAATTAGATGTTGCTGTAGTGAAAGAGATAAATGTCTTGTCCACTTATTTATTGTCTATTTGATCCTGTAAATTTTCAGTTTGCATGATTATGTGGAATTTAGGTAAAGAATGGGGATAGGAGTCAAACTTTGGATCACACAGAATAAATGTGTGGTCAAGTACAGTACTAAAAAGAATAAACAGGACCAAGAACAGTAATCAGCCTAAATGACTATAATTCATTTTATTTTATTTTTTTTAGAGAAAGAGAGAGAGAGAGAGAGAGAGAGAGAGAGAGAGAGAGAGAGAGAGAATCTTTTTTGTAGATGGACACAACACAATGCCTTTATTTTTGTGTGGTGCTGAGAATCGAACCCAGGTCCCGCCCATACTAGGCGAGCGCTCTACCACCGAGCCACAATCCCAGCCCAATTTTATTTTTATATTAATGGATTATCTACTAGGCATCAGTCAGCTCTCTAGTCTATGTTTTTCTCTTTAATTAAGTAGCATAAGATGCAAAGTCATAAAGTTTCCTCAAAAAATGTTAATAGAGTGTGAAGGGACTATACTTTATTTCCCAAATGGCATTTGAACATATCACTGGAATATATTTTTGAAACACAAAATCTTACAGAATGAATCCCCCAATGAAAATTTAATGTTAGTTTTAGATCCTATTGTGTGTGACTAGTTCTCTACCTTGGGATTTTATTTCATCTGTTGCTTCTTCTGCCACATGGTTGCTGGTCTCTGTTGCAGAAACATCTGGTAAACTCTGTGAGCCCTTTGAAAGGAGAATACAAATACCAATTTCAAAATGAGTTGCTTTTCATCAAAGTTGCCTCAACTCTCCTACTTACTTTTTCTAGGATTTAATGTTACATATTAGAAGCAAAGCAGTAATCACTGTCTATTTACTACATTCACAAGATGAAATGTGTTGACTCAACAGGTCATCTTCCTATTGCTAACAGTCATATGCTAGCAACATCATTCCTGTTGTACATTAATCCTTGAATTATACAATATTTTCAACAAACATAATTTGAGAGCATATCATAATGAAATCAGAACTCTGAGAATGCTACTTTAAAAAAACCATATCTTCCATGGTTTGTGGTATAAAGAAAAACATTTCATCTTCACTGAGGAAACTGAAGATCAAGTTTATGAATAATAGTAGCAAAACAGCTTTTTGTGCTCCTGGTGTACTTCAATAATAGGATATTTAAAAACTCATATTAGTCATCTTGATGTAAATTCATATAACTATTTTTTTTCTTTACAGTACTAGGGGTTGAATCCATGCTTGCATATGGCAGGCAAGCATTCCACTCTAGCACTGAGCTACCCTCCCTGATTTTATCTATTTATTATTTATTTATTCGAGACCAGGTCTTTCTAAGTTATTCCAGCCTCAGCCTTCTTAGAATCTGGAATTACAGCAGTGCACCAACCTGCCAGGCCTATATCATTTTAATTGCCTCCTTTTAAATTAAGTGTTCGTCCTCACTATAGTTTTGTGTTTATTTAAACACAAGGTTACTTAAATGATTAACATGGAAATTTCTTCTTCAGCAGGACAGCGAAGTTACCCTAAAAACTGGTATTTCCTGTACTTAGGGTAATAGTTCTGATTTTAGAAAGCAGCCTTTATTTATGTGTAATTTATAATAGCTCTTCACAAATAATTTACCTATCTATGGAAATTTCCTATAACTGAGTAAGTCTGATTAATAGTTAACATGAATTCGCCCTTTTCCATTTGCTGTTTTGTTCATCTTTTTGAACACCCACATTTTTTTTCCTTCTTCATAAGAAAATTTTATCCTACTGCACTAAAATCTAATTGTCCATGACAACTCTACCTTAATAGGCTCTGTCTCTTCAGTTGAATCCTCTTTCTTTTCTTTGTTGTCTTTTCCATTTTCCTGAGAAGGGAATAGTGTTAGTAAGTGGTATTCAAAAGCAGCTGGGGATTAAGCTAACATTTTATACTGTAATATAAAATTTTATTTTAGCTGGGTGTGATGGTACATGCTTATAATCCCAGCAGCTCAGAAGGCTGAGGCAGGGGGATTGCAAGTTCAAAGCCAGCCTCTTCAACTTAATGAGACCCTAAGCAATTTAGTAAGACCATGCCTCAAAAAGACAGAGAGAGAGAGACAGACAGACAGACACTGGGGAGTGTAACTCAGTGGTAAAGTGCCCTAGGTTCCATCTTTAGTATAACAACAACAATAATAATAATAATAATAACAACAACAAAAATCACATAATGAGCAGATATCATTCAGAATAAAATTAGTTGTGTCAACAAATTCAAACAATTAAGGCACACTATATTATAATTAAGAAAGGCCAACCCACTAAAAGCAGGTTACTGTGCTTCAACATTATTTTGAGCCAAGTTTTTTAGCATTTCTGTCAAAACCTGATGCAGAATATTTCGACTAAAAAGAGAAATAATTAAGTGATAGAAATGATATTCTATTTCAATTTTCCCAAGAATGTGGAATTTCAAATCCTCTCATAAATAGTTAGAAACCTAAATAAGGCCAGGAACCTGAGCAGATTTGGCTTCCTCTTGAAATGGTGACTCACTCATCTGGACCACGTAAAAATATCACCAAATTGCATGGAAAAGATCAATATTACCAGATCAATATTAATAACATAACGAGAGAAAGAAAATGTTGATAAACAACAAAAAGTATCCTGGAAGATCAAAATTTTCCTCACCCCTCCCCCACCATTCTATTGACCCGTTGTAAAGTCTCAACTGCTGAATTTTTCAAACTGTACTAGTGTTATTACTTTTCTTACTGACCCAAGCTGTCAGTGCTAGACCAGAGGAAACTCACAGTAACTGACACCATTATCACTTTTTTTTTTCAAAACATACTAAGGCAATTTAATTTTTAATGTTATTATCACTTTATTAATTTTTGAAATAATAATCAAGGTAAGGTAAAGTGCACTCTGATGGCTATCTAATCCCTGTGAGAAAGGTAAACGGAATAATGACCTCCTTAAAAAGTTTTTGTTTTTTTTTGTGTGTGTGTGAGAGAGCGTTCTGGGAGTAATATGATTTCTCTGGTTTACTTATATTTAGGAATTAAAATGTATAGTTACCACATCCTCATTTCACTGCAAGTGATCTATAATTTCAATCACAAAAAAAAAAAAATCACTGCTGTGCCAAAATTCATTGAGTTTGTGTATAAATGGGCTAGGTGCTGTGTAAAGAATAAATTACATTCATGTGGTCTCTGCCTCCAGGGCAGTTACTGTCTAGACTCTCTTTAATTAGAAATAGCATATATATATTCTGGAATATTCATTTTCTATCAATATAACACTTGTTCTAGTTGAATAAATCCAAAGTATTGCCTTTGGAGACAAAAGCTTCCAACACAAAACAGCTGCCTCAAAGTCTATTTTAAGTAGTTCATAAATAATTAACATAGATTTTTGTGGTAGGTTTCAACTATACATTCTTTGCTTATGGTGTCTATTTCTTGGATTTGTTAATAAGCTTCCTTCCTCTTTTTTTTTTTTTTTTTTTTCCTGGAGATTGAACTCAGAAGTACACTACCCCTGAGCTACATCCCCTGTCCTTCTTGTTTTGTTTTGAGATAGGCTCTCACTAAATTGCCCAGGCTGGCCTTGAACTTACAATTCTCCTGCCTTAGCCTTGAGTTGCTGGGATTATAGCCATGTACCACCACACCTGGCTTCCATTTCTTCTGTTTTGTTTGTATATGTCTAGATATATTCAACTAAATAACCTTCATTGAATGCCTTCTATTTGCAAGCAGATTAATAAAGGATGATTAAGTAAAGGATGATTAATAAAGGGGTTAATAAAGGATGATTAAAACCTGCCTTTGAAGAGTTCTAAGTTTAGTGATGGAAAACATTTCAATGAACCTGTGAAGTACAAGAATAGAGGTACATACAAAATGTTAAGAAACAAAAAGGAATAAGCAATCATTTTTCTCAGGGCAGTCTGGTAAGTTTTCATGTAGTAGATTTCCAAGCTGAATTTTAAAGGACTAATAAGAATTTTGTGTAAGGGAAGGGGAAAGGCTATTTAAAACAGAAGAAACAATACACTCAAGGGTATGAAAGTTCAAAAAAGTATTCATGTAAAAGAGCATAGTTATGTAAAAACAGTGGCAGAAGATGAGGCTAAATAGGTGATTATAGTCAATATGTAAAGAATTACTAGTGAAAGGAAAGTGACCATAACACTTGAAGCAACCAACAGATCTTTATTGAAGCAATGCAAAAGAGGAGAAAAGGGGGAGTAGAAGGCGGGGAGAGCAAAGAGAGAGAGAGAGAGAGAGAGGAGAGGAGAGAGTGAGAGGGAGAGAGAGAGCAAAAGTGAGAGAAGAAAGAGAGAGCAAGAGAGAGCAAAAGCAAGAGCAAGAGAGAGGGGCCTGGCAGGAAGGAGTTTTTATAGCCAAAATCTAATGGGGTCTTTGGGTCTGCAAGCTGCCTTGTTGGCATTCAGTGATTGGATCATACAGTAGTTGCTAAGGATGTCATCTTCTGCCTTCAGGCAGATGGGGCAGGAGTCAGATGTGGGTTTTTGTTGCACCAGACCGGTGGGGGTCGGGTGTTCAGCCTTGAGTGGGGTTGAGTGTTCAGACTTGATGCAAACAGGTGATAAAGGACCAGACAGAGGAGGGTTTGATGGCCTGGGTTATCCTGCAGCTAACATTCGTTCAGCCCACCCTGCAGATAACTTAGTTCAGCCTGCCCTGCACCTAACAACTAGTGCTAAATTGAGACGTTTGTACTTTTTTCTGTGCTCTTAAGTGGAGGACAAATGTTACCAAATATTGGTGTTTAGAAAAAGTTAATTCCTGCCAGGCACGATGGCACACGCTGGTAATCCCTGTGGCTTGGGAGGCTGAGACAGAAGGATTGTTAGTTCAAGCCAGCCTCAGCAACGAGGCACTTAGCAACTCAGTGAGACCTAGCAACTCAGTGAGACCCTGTCTCTAAATAAAATACAAAACAGGGCTGGGGATGTTTCTCTGAGTTCCATCCCTGGCATTAAAAAAAAAAAAAAAAAAGTAAACTCCCCCAGCAACATAGAAGATGGGTTGGAAATGTGAAAGACTGAGGAAAATGAGAAGATAAATTTTGCATCTTAAATGTTGCATTCAAGGTAAATCCAGCCCTTGCTGTAGTATAGAGTTTGCTGGACATTGTCAGTATAACCCAACCATATCCCCTCAGGTTCACCTTTTCAGTACATGCAGATAGACTGCAAGCTCCTGCAATCCTGCTTCAGGATTTTCTCTAAATCCACATGGACAGACAGAAGTGCTTGGAAGCTAATACCTATGAGAAAAGCCCTTAGCCAATGATGGATAGGGAGTTGACCCATGGGTGGGAGATTTCTGAGGTAGATTTTATACTGTTTTCCAGAGTTTCTCAGTGATTAAGCCTCAGCTGCCCACAGTGTAACCTGCCCTATAAAGAATGTTGGGCTTCCTTCACATCTCTATATTACTTTCCTACTCCCTTTACCATTGTTTCTTGAAACCATCTTCCAAATGAACTTGTGTTCAAATCCTTAGGTCAGGATCCTTTCCTAAAACAGATATAATCATTAGGATTGGGGGACATAATTAAATCTAAGGACTGAAAGAGAAGGAGAAATTAGGGACTTACTGACTGTTTCTTTTCTTTCTTATTCAAAAAGCTGGCTAGATGTGATGCCATTGAATGAAATAAAGAAAAGAGAGAGAAATGGGTTTAAAGAATGATTCAATGAGTTTGTGTTTAGACATTCAAGATACCTACAGGATTGCCTGATGTAGTTTCCAGCAGGAGTCAGAAGGTCACTGAAATGTATTATGATGTATTGGAAGAAAATTATATAGAATTAAGTCCGCTGGAATATGATGGGGGAACTGTCCATTTAGAACACATTACCTTGCACTTTCATTACTCCAAGTAGATAATACTCTGTGTGCTTCACACTCTTACTCATGAGAACCCAGAGTCATTCATTTAGGTTGTTGGCTATGAGACAGAGCTTCTATGGATCTAGTTAAGAACCCTCCATAGTTACTTTCTTCAGATTTGTAACTTGGCAAATTGTAGCATTTGGCATCTTAGTATGCAGGACTGTTAATCATATATGATAGTCAATTGTCCTTGAAGAAGAGGTTTCCCAGTATAAGAGAAAAATAAAAAATCATTCTGATTACTCATTCTAATAGAAGAACTGTGTTTTATTTAACTTTCTTGAGATTCTTGAACACTTGAGCGACAGCTGAATTTGCAGGATGATGCTACTTGGTAGCATTTTGTGGGACTGAGCCCTTCATCCTGTGGGATCTGTATGTAGATAATGCCAGAACCAAACTGAATTATAGGATACCCAGTTGGTGGCTGCTGGAAAATTGTTTGGAGTGTAGGGAAATAAAAACCCCACTCATCTGTTCATAAAAGTGTTCTGGGTTACATGTGAGAATAGGAAAAACACTTTGGTTTGAAGTCTATGGTGCATCTAAGGTAACTACAGCAACACAAAAACCAAACTCAATTACTGTCAGATTAACACAACTCCACTTACTACTGGCCTGAAAGAAGAGATGTACCTATTTCTCAAAATAAATTATATTTACCTCAGTTCTACTATTTATTTACATATAATGTCCAGCATTTTAACATATTATGAGACTCATTAAAAAGCAAGAGAAAAAATGACCTATTGTCAGAAGATAAAGGCACTGAGTAGAACTAGAGAAATGTTGGAACTATTCAATAGAGACTTTAAAATAACAATGATTAATAATTATATTGATAATTGATTAAAATGTATAACTAAGGTCTATATTTTTATATATGTATATATATGTGTGTGTATATATATATATATACACAAACACATTTTTTTTTTTTTGGTACTGGGGAGTGAACTCAGAAGTGCTTTACCACTGAGCCATATCCCCATCCCTTTCTATTTCTTTTTATTTTAAGACAGGGTCTCGCTAAGTTGCTGAGAGCCTCACTAAATTGCTGAGGCTGGCTTTGAACTTGCAATCCTCCTGCCTCAGCTTCCTGAGCTGCTGAGATTACAGGCATGCACCAATATGCCTGATATTATTTTTATATAGATTACATATAATTGCAATTATAATATATAATAATATAACTTTTAATCCTGTTAATATAAATATGTAAATATTACAATAGCTATTAAAATAATTACAACTAAATAACTTAGTGGAAAAAAATATAACATCCATAGTTATGTGTTTTCAGCACAGAGATAGAAACCATAAAGAAAAGCCAACTAGAAATTCTGGATATAAAAATCATGATAATAGCGATGAGGAATTCCTTTGATAGGTTTATTAGTAAACTGGACCCAGCAGAAGAATCATTTGGTGGCTTTGAAATTAGGTCAATTAAAATTATCCATGCCTGAAATCAAATTGGGGGAAAGAATAACAGCACTTAAGAGCTATGGGGCAATCTTAAATAGTTTAACTTACATGTAATTAGAATCCCAGAAGAGAAAAGAGGGTGAGATGAAAGAAGTTTGAAAATAAAATTACTGATAACTTTCCAGATTTATGAAAGATAACAAATCAGCTTCAAAAAGCTTTGAAAATTCCAAGCAGGATAAATACAAAAAAAGCACACCGAGGCATATATACAAAAATACTGCAGAAATCCAAAGATAAAATATTGAAAATAGCCAGAGAAGTAAGAAACATTACACACAGAAGAACAAAGATAGTAAGGCCAACTAATTTCCCATCAAAAACTACACAGGCCAGAAAACAATAATGACATTGCTAAAATATTAGGGAAAAAAAAGAAGAAAATTCTATACCTAGTAAAA